ATGTTAAAGGAATTTTTTTTAATATAAATTAATATATTTTGATTTTAAATTATTAAATATTTAATACAACTTTCAAATATTAAAAAATAAAAAAGACACAAGTATCAATGCAACTCATGCACCGACAGAGTTTGGCTCTTGTAACTGGGACAAGCTCGGTAAAAAAAATTTACCCGAAATGGGCAAAAATGACATCGTGTTGCCCCTTTTGGGGCAGATTTTTTGACTGACTGACATATGCTTTGACACATGGGCTAGCTTCACACACATGGACGGCGGAGAACCTCTTCTGATTATTTTGTTTAGAAAAAAAAAATTCAAGTCTTTTTTTAACATCTATTTTTAAATTTTATTTAATTTTTTATTATATTTATTAAAAATATTTTTTATTTTAAAAATTATAATAAATCTTAATTATTAAAAATAAAAAATAAATTATTAAAATTTTATATAAATCTTATTTATAAAATTAACAAATAAATATATTTTTACTCTATATAAAATATAAATTAAATAAGGAGTTAGTATTTGCTCGTTTATTTTCAAAAAAATTAAGAGAAAATAAGATAAAAAATATTTTAATTTATATTTTAAAAATAAAATATTTTAATTTTTTTTAATAAATATTTATTAAAATGAGTAATTTTTTAATAATATTTCTCTTAATATTTAAAAAATAAATCAGATAAATACTATTTATTTGAATAATATTACAGTGATGTTATATTTTAAGAAGTTTTATTTTATTGTATGCATTGGAGAGAGAGAGAGTGTGTGTGTTTGTGTTCTGTTAATTATTCCACTTGTAAGTCAAGGCTTCATTCGTGGTTTGAGTTCTTGGTATTGGTTTTAAAAAATTTTAAAACTTTAAAATAAAATTAAATAATTTGATAAATTAATAAAATTTCAAGTTTTGAATATTTGTTTTAAAAATATATGCCCAATATGTTTATAATTTTAATTTTTAATTGTTAACTAGAATTTAAGATGCCTTTCACACAATGCGCTCGTATTATAATGCTTTTTTTAATTATTCAATATTTAGTGTTAATAAATAATTATAAATATAGTATATGTTGTATTTTTTGAATAAATTATTACACAACAAGTGACATTAAAAAAACTATATAAATTATTTTTAGAAAATCCCTTAAACATTCGAATAGTTTTTTATAGACAATATTTTTGATAAAATTTGTTTGTAAACTTCTTGGAATATCATTGTTATCGATTAATATCTTTAATACAAATCTATCCTACACCCTTGATATTGCAACATATAGTTGTCTGTGTGAAAACACAAATATAGGTAGATATATTCTCACTTATCAAAGTGTTTGTCCTTGGCTTTTGTCGATGGTCATAGTAAAATACAACCGTATTAGATACTGTCTCCTCCTAAAAAAACAAACAACAATCTCACATTTTGTGGACTCAATGTAGTCCTTGGTATGAGGTATCTTTGTTCAACATGAGAACCCATCTTAGTTTCTGCTTCAATAAGTTTTGAAAAAACTCTCTTAATAATCATCCTTGTACCATTATGTAATCCTACTCTTTGATTTAGATTTTTCATGAGAATCACGAGAGCATCAGCTTTCTTTTTGAGCAAATGAGAAGGCAATCCATTGAACTCCAATGAATTCAAGTATTATGTAGGATACTGGAGCTCTCTATTTCCATTATCACCTTCCAATCTTTCTACATAGTTGTTGATTGAGAAAAGTGAATTCATCACCAACAGCTTTTTCTAACATCAACTTGTTTATGTGATTTATATCAACATTCTTTGCTATTACAATTGTTTTACTAAAACAAATAGTTGCGTCACCCTAAAATAAAAAAACAAATAGTAATTAAATATTTGGTTTTTAAATTTAAAAAAAGTATAAAATAGACTTATATTGATATCAATATTGAGATTGCACTAGTTAATTGATCCCTTCCTGGAGTAACTGCATTTTATATACAATGGAAACGCAACATGATCATAGAAATAAGATCATCCCTTAATCAATTTATTGATGTTTCATAATTAGATTCCATTGCAAACTAGTAAACAACCCGAAAGAAAAATAAAGGTAAACAAAATCAGGTGGAATACAAGTGTTTGGGTTGAATAGGAATGGGAAACAAAGCATGTAACATATTATATAAATTGATAGTGAAAAAGGAAATTTTTGTTCTTGATAAATAATATGTTAAGTTCTATTTAAAATTGAATTATAATATGGATCCCAAAAATATGTAGAATTATTATAAGTATAACTTGAGATATATATAATAGTAAATATATATATATATATATATAGTACAAAATTTGTTTACTTGTTTAGATAGTTACCGCGAGACCCACGTACTAAAATTAATTGATACAAATTGGTAGTGGAATAGAAAAGTTTTGTTATTGATAAATAAGATATTAAGTTTTATTCAAAATTAAATTGTAGAATGGATCCCAAAAATATGTAAAATTATTATAAGTATAACTTGAGGTATATATATAATAGTAATTATATATATCATACAGAGAGAAAAGAAAAAATTAAAATGTTTTGATAATTTTAATGTTAAGATATCCAATGACAACTATTAAATATATGAAATATAATATTAATCATAATTTTATTAAATTTATCATATAACTATTATTGAATGTTCTAATATTTTTACTATGATGACACTCTAATTTTTCCGTTTTCCATGGTACAAAACTTGTTTACTTATTTTGATATTTATGTGGGACCCACACACTAAAATTGAGAATTGTGCAACAAAACTTGTTTATTTGTTTAGATATTTACAATTACATATATAGGATCCACACGCTAAAATTAATTGATATAAATTGATAGTGGAATAGGAAATTTCTGTTTTTATTGAATAAGATATTAAGTTTTATTCAAAATTGATGAATCATAACGTGGGTCATATAAATATGTAAAATTATTATGAGTATAACTTGAGGTATATATAATAGTAATGATATATATAATACAAAAAGAAGAAGAAATTCATAATGTCATGATATTAAAAATGTTAAGATATTCAATTATAATAATTAAATGTGTAGGTACTAATGATATGTTGGTCCGAGTGGAAAGAACTTGATTTCTTTTAAATAAGGTCTTGAGTTTGAGTTTTGTGAATGAAAAAACCGGTGTTGAGAGAATTTCTCCCCCAATAGAGTTCGACGTGACTTGATTTTGAATTAATTGAGATCCAATATGATTATCAAATACTTAAAGGTTAATATAAAAAAAATTATGTATGATACAATATGAATCATAACTTTATTAGATATCTTAACATTTTAATATCAAAACATTTTAATTTTTCCTTTTCCTACAATACGAAACTTATTTACTTATTTAGATATTTACGTGGAACCCACACACTAAAATTAATTGAGATTTGTTTGAATAATTATATAATAAAATATTTTAGATTTATTTCTTATTCTATTAATTCCTACAATTAATTGGGTATTTAGCCTATTAGGTTTTTTTTTTTCAAAGTCTAATGTGTATTTATTAAGAATTTTTAAAAGTCTAGTAGGTATTTGCTGACAATTTTTTAAGGTATAATGAGTATTTATTTGTAAATTTTAAGAAAAAATTTGTTATTATAGTAGTTATATATTATTATATTATTATATAAAGATTTTAATTGTTTGAATTTTAAAAATTAAAATAAAAAATTTAAAATTATAACTATACTAAAAAGAGCCTAAACATATAAAAATATATAAAAGATAAATTTATATGAAGTAATATAATGGGATAATGTGACACTAAAATAGGTTTTATATTTTATTCTAAATTAGGGATTGAACTTGCATAGGATTGATACAAGAATACAAAACTATTAATCCTCTGGGGGTCCATTAGGTTTTTGGTAGAATAGAACTTATAAGTTATGCCCTTTTCATTTTTTAATTTTGCCGTTACAAGTAATTTTTTATTTTTTTGGTAAATTAAATAATAAGTTATATAATAAAAAAATAATTCTTTCATTTCTTATTTACCCTCATTTATTTTAAAATTTAAATTTAAAATTTCTATTTAAAATCTTAAATTCTTAACTAATAAGAGACTCTATTAACCAACGAACAGTTGGTTCAAGTGGAAGAAATTCGATTTTCGTTAAATAAGATTTGAGTTTGAGACTTATGAATGGAGAAATAAGCGTTGAAAAAGCTTTTTTCCTAATAGGTCCGACACGACTTGATTTTAGATTAGTTAAAATCTAATGTGATTACCGGATATCGAGAGATTAATAAAAAAAAAAGGATAAAAGTAATTATAGTTTATAAATACTATTTCATTTTAAAAATTTAAAAATTTATTAAAAAAATATTGCTTTAATGATTACACTTGCTTATCTGCCAAACGTCCCCTAAATTAAAATGAAATATTCTAACGAAAATTTGTTTAGAACGGTGAGAAATTAAGCAATAGGAGGGAATAGTTACAATAATGCTGTAATTACAGCTTAAACTCTCGAAAAAAAGACCAAGCGTCGTTACTGCACTTGTATGGTTGCTAATGCTGCAAGCAGTGTTTTTGGACCTGGCCCGGCCCGGTTGGTTGAACCGGTTGAACCGGACTCGGGCTTGAAAACGGGCCGGGCCAGTACCTTAACCCATTTTGCAAGTTCACCCGTTTTGGCCCGTTGGTGCCCGCCCAACCCGCTGAAACCGCCTAACCCGCCTAACCCGTCGGGCTGCATGAATTTGAGTTTTTACTTTTTAATGAGTTAATAGTAATTAAATTAATTTATTTGATTTTTAATATAATTAGTTAATTACCCACACCATTAACTTTAATTAAAAATTAAAATCGCACATCAATTAAAAAAACAAAACTCTCAGAGGATTAGATCTTCCTATTTGCTATTTCACTGCAAATTGCAAAAGCAAACCCAAGAGAAATTAGAAACAAAAGAGAGCAGAGGAAGAGAAGAACAGCACCACCAGACCACCACAACCACACACCAATCACCACCGCCAGCCTTTCCCTGCCCGATCTCAGCTAGAAATCGCGAACCTGCTGGTCGCTCGTGGCCTCCATCTGTGGCTTGCAGTCCTTTGTCTCTGCAGAAGCAAAGCCAGAAAGCAAGCCCTTCATCTCTATGTAGAAGCAGCCAGAAAGTAGAAAGAAAACAGAGCAGCGAAGTCACCGGTGGCCAACTGCCTCTGCGATCTCAGTCGTCGGCGACTCCATAGCTGCCTCCCAGGATCTCAGCCAAAAATGGCAAACCTGCTGGTCGCTCGTGGCCTCCGTCTGCGGCTTCCAGTCCTTTGTCTCTGTAGAAGCAAAACCAGAAAGCAAGCTTCATCTCTGTGCAGAAGCAGCTAGAAAGCAAAAAGAAAACAGAGCAGCGAAGTCACCGGCAGCCAACTGCCTCCCCGATCTTAGCCGTCGCGACTTCACAACTGCTTCCCCGGATCTCAGCCTTTCGTCGCTGCCCTTCCTCTCCTTCCACTGACAAAACAAATTTTCATTTGCATAAATTGCATTTGCATCGGGTATAAAAATGTAAAAAAAGAAAATGGTTTTTAGTCAACCAGTTGAACCGATCGGGTGAACTGGTTCAACCGGTTGAACCAGACCCGGTGGCCAAAACGGGTCAGCCACCGGGCCGGGTACAAAAACATTGGCTGCAAGTGCAAAAAATAAAGTGAAATAAAATAATGTTGTCTACATTAAAAAATAAACAAATAATAAAACATGCAGTCTAATATTACGGCGTTAAGTATAACGTTTTCGCCTGAATTGGGGGTTGTTTGGCAAAATGTCTAGATACGTATTTATCAAGTTGAAGATGGGTTGTTTTCAGTTGGGCTGTAGCCCTATTCAGTATTCAGCATTTTGTTCTTGGGCCTCCAAACCAAAGTCTCCACAGGCAATAGTTAACACAATGACTCTTGTCGTTTAAGATTGGGTTCTTTGGATCCAGTATCGTTCTGCGCAAAGCTGTTCCATATGTTTAGTGCATTTTGTTAGAAGTGGTTTTCGAATCTAGAAGTACAAGTAATACCAAACACCCATAATTTTAAAAATTGTCCGTCGTTGAGGAACTAATCTTAGTTTTTGCCTTTTGAAAATTGAAAAGCATGGATCTGGTGCTACTTCACATGCTACTCCACCCCCATTCAGTGAAATTTGCTTGGTATTCTCATTTTACCCTCCTAGTTTAGCAAATTTACAATTGAACCAGTATATATATGGTATTAGTTATAATCCAAATCTCTAATTGTCATCCTGCACATCTTCTCCATCTGTCAATAATCCCTGGTTTTAATGGTTGCTTTAGGTTTTTTCCCCTTTTTAACTTTAGAAAACATGGGTTTTGCCCATTGTCATTGATTTGTTGAATTTTGGCTTGATTAAACATAGGCTTTGAGATAGTTTGGATTAAATCATCAATTTTCATGTCAATTTTTTGGTTCTCTTCACATTCATTAGTCTGTATGCCATCTCTTCTATTCTCTTTAATGCTAAACTTTAAAAATTATATAACTTTTCATTTTCAATTTCCATGTTAAGACGTATATCTCAATATACCATAATCTTCTACTTCGCATATATCTCTTCCTTTGTATAAATGGTACAAAACTTTTTCCTCTTTTTCTTTTCCTATTGATGCTAATTGCATATTTATTTGGTACTCTAGTATGCTCCAAATACATGCTTGGTTATATGCTCTAAATACATGTGATTAAGAAAAGATACAGATAAAAAGGAAAAGAAATAATATTTTTAAAAATAATATACTTGCCGAAGTGTGAACTATTAAAGGAACGCATGGGATTTTTCATAGTATATTTGCTAGATGATTTGTTATTTTCAGCAATAATGCACTTTGGGCGCTTCAAAGTGGGTTGGTCAAATTATTAATTACCCTCTAAACATGTCTGAAGATTGTGTTTTTGTTACTATAATTAATATTGTCATGTGTATGTTTTTACAAATCTTGTTTTAAGGACATTTTTAAACATATTTTCATTGTTCATTATCTATAACTTTCTTCATATATTTCAAGCAAATATTAACTTGTTGATGTTGGTTTTCTTAATGTAAAATGATATTTGACATCTTATAAAGGAAAAATGTATCACATTTTTTATTTTAGACATGAAAGTCAACAAATAGGTTATTAAGAAGTATTCAACCATCCTCATACTTGTTTTAGAAATTTCATTGAGTGGTTTGTTGGGGTTTGAAAAAATAGGTTTGAAATATTGTCCAATATATAAAATTATTCAATTAGAACATAAAAGAAGATAGTAGTTGCAACTATCTCGCTTCATAATTATATTAGTCAACATGTAATTAAGAATAGAAAATTTAATATGTATGATCATGATCTAAATTATATACTTGAAGTGCCCAAGGAAGAAAATAAGAGTGAAAGAATTTCTTAAAATAATTTTACTTGTATAATGAAGGATCGTGGTATGAATTACCTTCAAGATTTTATAATTCTATTCTTAATAGAAAATTAGTCAAACTAATTGTTATTATTAATTTTTAATTTTATTCTCTTATATTTATATGACTTAATGTAGTATGTTTTGTTTTTTAATATTAAAATATAATAATTTATATATTAATATTAAAATCATTAATTACTAATATTTATGTTTTATAAATATGAACAATCTATTTGTAATCATCAACTTTATCATAATTAAACTAAAAAAAATTGAAGCTCTATAAAAGTGGAGAGTGAACGATAGAGACAATACATCTTCAAGAAAAAAATATCATTTTCAATTATTTCAAAATCACATAAAATTAAAAGATTTTTTATAAAAAAAATTTACAAAAATAACTTTTACATTTTAAAAGTACTTTTGTAAATTTTTTTTTATCAAACTCCTTTAACTTCTCAAAAATAAGACTTTTACAACAAACCATTCCTAACAATAATTCTACCAAAAATTTCAACCACACTAAAGGGGCCTTTAATCGCTTACCAAAGCAAAAGCATGCGAAATACATTTTCTCATCGTATTTATTTAGCCATGCCATTTGTTTATGTTGTGTTGCTTCATGCAGCCTTTCCTTATTACAATATACTGTATTTTTTATGAGAATTAATATATTGAATATTTTGTTGTGATTAAAATTTAAAATACCTCTTATACTTTCAATTACATATAATTTAAAAAATATTTAAATATAATATGACATATGGTTTTGTAACTAGTTTTTTTAGAGACATGCATGAGATTATATATATATATACACACATGTTTAATATCACATTATATAATGTAATATATAATATAATATGATATTGTATTTATAATATTACTGATAAAATTTTAATTCTTCAAAGTTTTTTTTTGAAGAATACAACCCTCGTTTTTTTTTTTTATGGTGGAATACACCCTCAGTTGATTATACATAATCTATAATCAACTAAGGGGTGCTTTGTTTTGATGTTTCTCAAGTATTTTGACTTTAATTAAATTGATAAATATTTCAAATTATAAACAATAATTATCAAACATAAAATATTCCAACACTACCGATTTCTTGGTTCGAGTAGAAAAAGTTCGATTCCCATAAGTAAGGTCTCGAATTTGAATTTTATGAATAAAAAAATATGCATTGAAAGAATTTCTCCTCTAATGAAGCTTGACACGACTCGATTTTAAATTAATTGAATATAATGTGATTATTCGATACAAGGAAGTTAATAATAATAAAAATAAATAAATAAAATATTTCCAAACCAAAAACAACAATTATCAAACATAAGGTATTGACTACTAACCATATATCAGTTACATCTGACACTAAGTAGGTAGAAATTGACCAGAGATGGTACCTTAAGTACCTGCCTTTTGGTTTTGCAAATTCGAAGCCACTTGTTTGGTGAAAATCAGTGGCCACCCCTTTAGAGAAAAGGAATTTTCAAAAAAAAAATAATTTCAGATATGGGATGGAAAAGAGATAGAGCTTACCATTTTTACCTAAAAAAGCAATGTGACTAATTAATGAAAGTGTGTAACCGCAATTATACCTCACCCAATTCGAACATTCAATCACAACAAAGTTCATTAATTACCCCTCAAACGTTTCTTCAATCTCAAATTCTCAATCATATAATACCACCACCAAGTACCAAAACAGAGCAGAGCCTTCAGAATTATACCCAACTAAAAAGAAAATGCCTGTTCTTGTCTTCATTCTCCTCCCCCTTTTCTCCTCCATGGCTGCCGCCGACGACCGATTAATTGAAGTACAATGCCATAACGCGGAGGTTCCAGCCGTCTGCATGCAGTGCGTGAACTCCGATCCGGAAGCCGGCCAAGCAGACAGAGTAGGCGTAGCCGCCATTGTCCTCAACTGTCTGACCAACCATTCGAAGACCTTATACCACGACATGGCGGAGCTAGCATCTAGTTCGCAGGACAAGAACACGGAAGCCGTTGCTAAAATTTGCCAGAAAGGGTATTCCGATGCAGGGCAGCAATTGGGTGCGGCTGCGCAGGCGCTGAAGAGCGGGGATTATGATATGGCTAACGCATCTGTGAGAGAAGCGCTTGAGAATGATGTTGCTTGTGGTAATGAAGGAGAGAGTTGTAAGCTGAATTTTCCTCCTGATGTTGTTTATGAAATGAGGGTTTATGAGGAATTAGCTGATGCAGCCTTGAGAATAATTGATAGGCTTTAGTCTTCTTTTTCAAAGTGATGATGATTTGAGAAAGGTGAAGAGAAAATTAATAAATAAAGATTATTCTTAATTAATTATTATTAGTAATCTGAATTAATTTTAATTTTTAAATTTCAAAAATTGGGGAGAAGGAAAAGAAAAATAGGAAATAAGGTTTTTTAGTTTTTAGTTCAATTGTGTAAGTAAAATGTCTATACATTAGTTTATTAGTCACTGTCAAAGTTTGTTTGAATTAATCTTGTTTGTTCTGCTTTTTTCGGTGTGATAGATTTATAGTTATTTGATTTGATAAATTGATTGTATTATTTGATTATTAGGAACAGTTTATAATTACAATTAATAATTAATAAAATAATTAATATTAATTTAAAATTATCTTATAAATTACTAAAATCAATCAAACTATACGGATGTAATTTTACTAATTTTTAAACTTGTCATACTTATTTTATATAAATGCAAGATTTAATAATTTTACGAAAAAATTTTACTAAAAAATTTTTCACAAAACTACAAATAGTATTATAATTTAAATTACAAAATAAAAACTCTTAAAAGAAAAAAAAATCTTAATATCAAACATTCACTTTTTATTTTAAAATTTTTATTTTTAATATAATACAATTTAATATAATTCAAATTACAAATTAATTTTTTCGTTAGCCAAATCTGACTCAAGTAAATTTTGTTTTTCGCTTACGGACGGCGCCAAACTCCAAAAATTTTACCGCGACAAATTCCAAATAAAAAATCTAAAAAAAAAATGTAAAATATTCTTGTAAAAAATAAATCTTGATTTTAGCCCCACAATCACTAAGCTATAATTGTAGGAAACCCAACATCTTTCTCTCTCTCTCATTCCTAACCCTCATCATTGCCATTTCAATTTTAAACCTGATTTGTTCTAGAGGGATCAATCGCAGCTCAAAATTCCCGAAAATCCCAATTTCAGGATCGGGCAATCCAGTTCATGGCGTCGACGCCGTTGAATAAGATCGAGAGAGCCCACCAGTTGTACAGAGACGGCCTCTACGAGGAGGCGCTGGGGTTCTACACGGAGGCGCTCTCCATGGCCAAGACCAAGGGCCAGAAGATCGCCTTGCACAGCAACAGGGCTGCTTGTTACTTGAAAATGCATCATTTCAAAAAGGTCTTATCATCTCCCCCTAATTTTTATTAATCTTATTCGCAATCCGATTGCTTTCCCCCAATTTTATTCTGTTTACATTGCTTATATGTGATTTATCCGTTTTCATCCTATGTAATTATTCCGGAAAATTGTTCAATTTTCACGAAATATTAATTCTTTTTTTCATTTTGGGTAGTGATGAACCGGATGATCAGTGAAAATATAAACTTTCTCTTTGGAAAGGGGCATTCTTTTTTCCTTTTTCTTTTTGAAATATCTTTGATTATAAAAAAAAGTTTAATCCGCGTAAATTAATCATTGGGAAAGAGCTGCAAAAATGAAATTATATAAATTTTTTTGAAGCAAATCAATTCTTGGTTTAATCGTTTATTAAAACACAGATAGAATAGTGATATGTGGAGCCACATGAAAAATATGAGTTTTATAATGCTAATTGATGTTGTCGATTCAAGTTCAGGCAGCAGAGGAATGCACATCTGTTCTTGAGCTTGATCATCAGCATACAGGAGCCTTGATGCTGCGGGCACAGACACTGGTCACCCTGAAGGATTACCATTCAGCACTCTTTGATGTCAATCGGCTCTTAGAGTTGAATCCATCTTCAGAAGTTTATCAAAACCTTCAAGCTCGTTTAAGGACACAATTGGTATGTCCTCCCATTTGGTTAATGTCTCTTTGCACTACCATATTCTTTTGTATTTTGTGTTTTGCTGGAAGGGAAACATTTTTGTTTCAATTGGATTTTTTCTGCTGCTGGCTTGTAGAATTACACACAATACTAATCTCGTGAACATTAGGAATGTTGCAACTGTTTGAGAGGTGAATTGATGTCGGGTCATGAACTAGCTTTCTTTTCATGTCTTTCTTCAATGAGGAAATTCACTTTTCAAATGCAAAATAGAGATTAAACTTTTACACAATCTGTGTACCCTGTCTCATGTTTTTTGTGAAAATTGTCAATTTATTCAAAAAAGTTGTTATCGAGGCCTTGTCTCTAAAAGCAATTACTAAAGCTGATTTAAATCTTGCTTTCATCAATATTTTAGATGTTAGTTACAAAATGCTGTTTTTTTCTCTTGCTTAAGGAAAGTCACTGGCTCCAATACCGGAATCTGAAGGAGAAATGGAAGAAGAGGAAGAACAGCATGAAGCAGGACCATTTAAAATTAAGGAAAAAGGGGAACAAGATGATAAAAGAAAGGATACTGTAGTTTCAGTTGTGAGGGGAGATCATAAAGCTGAGATTAGCTGCACTTCAAATGTGGAAGGTAATGTCCCTAAAGCGCCTGGCATCGAGGAATCTCCTAGAAGAGAGACAGATCAGAAAAATGTGCCTGGAACTGCTAACGGAGTTATTGCTTCCCAAAAGCAGAGTGGAAAGGATTCCAAAGGTTGGCAGGCAATCCCAAAACCAAAGGGACATTCAGCTCTGGACTATGCAAGGTGGGATAGAGTTGAAGATGATTCTAGTGAAGAAGAAGATGATGATGATGATGATGATGATGACTCCTCCCTCCCTCAGTATCGGTTCCGAGTAAGAACTGTTGGTGTACGGCCAGTCAAATGAAAATACTAAATTCTCTGAAACAAATAATGCTTATATTTTCTGCAATACCATCACATAGAGCCTCAAATGTAGAGGAAAGTGGAATTTGAGAAGCTCTGATTGATGGATCCATCAAGCCAAAACTTTGAGATCTAGGAGAACCGTCTTTGTCACGTACGAAGTTCAAGTAGTTGACAGGATTGCCATAAAAGCTACAGAAGGAGCAGATTTTGCACTTGAGACTCTAGCTTTGAGCATGTTTCATATTTGTACAAAAAATATTCGGTTGCTAAAGAGTATCCCTTTAAGGACTACCTGTCAAGTTATGAACATTGATTTCAGCTTTGTGATGATCACATCACATCTAGTAATTTATCCCTTTAGTTGTTTCTCAATGGGGTGAAATTTTATGCCCTTGAGAACAACTACTGGTCAGAGGAAGTTTGTATTTTTTTAAGTTATTCATTCATTGATGTGTAAAGTTGTGTATTATCAAGCTGTCAAAAACGTAGATTACCCCAAATGCAACCTAATTCAGGCAAATTCTCTGATGTTTCCTCAGGGCGAGGGGCATTGTTACTACTTTTGGTCATAAAGAGGCATTATATACTTGAAGCAATGTGAACCCAATGGGTGGTAGCTTATTTGGAAAAAAAAAAAAA